GAGCGAGTTCATCAAACTGAAACTGCACATTTTTTCCTTTTTTCTTAACATAGTCTCAAAATGCAGAAAACTTGGGCACAGACTGACAAGAAAAACAATACCACTGGGGTTATTTTTTGACAAGGTTGACAAAAAACTGAAAATCTCTCCCAATAAAACACTGTAAAACTGTCACTTGACTCGGTTATCTTATTCTTTGCTTTGTGCAAAAAAAAAGACACTGTTTTATGTGGTAATGTTCTTCTGATTTATTGCAAAAAGAACAAGCTGTTGGCAACAAAGAGACGAAGATGCCAGCTAAACCCCCTTCGTCTTGTCCAGTTGCCCCTCGGTCCCACGTGATATGCAAATGTCCTGTCTCCCAACCGGAGTTCTCTCTTCTCCATGATATGTAATGATGTGATTAGAAATGAAATGAGGATTGTTCTTCAGTGTCCTCCTCCGTGCGTTACAGACTTCATTTTAGTCTCTCTTCCATCTTTTCAACCTTATGGCACTGGGACGCATGCATGACACAAGCTTTATCTGATCTAAAAGTGACTCGCGCAATAGAAATCTGCAAAAACTCCATGGAAAGTGTGCTGGATGAATAAATGAATGGATAAATGGGTCTAGAAGCCGGACTTGTTTTTGCTTGATTAGAAGATTTTCTTTATATTCATGGCGAAGCCGCGCGACCATTTCTTCCACCTCCTTCTCTTCTCGCTCCTTCATAGCCTGCAGCTTTGCATCGTAGATTCGTTCTATTCGCCTCCAAAGTTGCTCCATTACAAGGCGCACCTTGGCCAGATTTGGCTCCTAAAATTTTATCGAACCTCAAGCATCCATACCAATAATTCTGTCGGCGTAAGCACACGTATAGGAGTTGTTTTCTGCGTCACTCTGTGCATAAAATTCTGCCTATTTTTGGACTGTGCTAAGAAGGATGAATATTATTCAGTTTTTTTTTTTTTGATGAAGTCGCACGAGGCAAATATACTGAACAACAGCAACTAGAGTTCTTAAATTGACTGTATATTTTAATTTCAAATTATTCTTTTGCAATACATGTATTGCAGTGCCAAATTCAACTTTTTTTTTTGAAATTATTCTTTTGCAATAAATGCATTTCAGCGTCAAATTTATTCTAAACATGTTACACTTTTTGATGACCTAAAGACATAATTTTTCCATTCAAATTATTTGAAGCGTTCAATTTCTTTTAGTTTTTATCCACCGATATTTCAACTATCTTTGAGGAAGGTGATCTTATTTGTGGCCAAACTTTTACAACTACGACTTCAAAAACTTGCACTTGCACTGGGGGGCTTCTGTTTCTGCTCGGCTGCTGCTTTGCTTTTGTGCCTCGCACGCTTGCTCCAACCTTGGATAAGTGCTTCGGCAATGACATTCTCCACTTCCTCATCAACACCCGCCTGCAACGATAATCGTCTACAGCGAAAGTGACACGTGATAAAAGACTGTACAGGAGCTCAGCGGCGGCGGCGGTGGGGGGAGGCCCATATCAAGGCACTGGTCAAATTGCT